GGTCCAAGTAATGGTATAGTATATACTTTTGGGGCCCAAACACCTATCAAGGACCTACTTTCATGGTACTTGGACCCTTTGGGTTTGACAGTATCCTAGCATTGTGGCGTGTGGTCATGTAGTATCGCCAGTCTGTTGCTTCCTTAAAGGATGTTCTGTTTGTCCCCACCTAAACCTTGGACCCTAAATCCTTCAAGCTGGGTTTGAAGGCTTTGAGATGGGTTTCGGCTCGAGGCGTCCGATTTTTTGTATTTGTAGCTGTCAGGTCGCGAGATCTCTTAGCAAGAATCCTCGGCATGCCTCGCCGCTCTCCATGTTACCTCGTCTTGCTTCCAATCCTGTTGTGGCCTTTATCGCAATGCTTCTGTGGCCTTAACAGGCTGCAGCTTGCCGTCAAGACACGGAAGCGCTCATTCTTGTTGCAGGTCACTGCAAAACGTTCCAAAGACGACCAGTGGGACATGGTGCCAGTACCGCCATATTTCTATGCTGTAAAGCTGGATCCTGATAACTATGGGCAGATGGCAGCTTACTTCGCGGACACGTACGAAAGAAATCCGGAAGCACTTGCAGAGGCCTTCAGAGACAGGGGCAAGAAGGCGGGTATCCGAGAGGTGAGGAGCATCAGGGCCGAGTCCATGCAGACCAGCTTCTTTGACATGGGGTCAAGAGCCAAGCAACCCTAATTATGTCTTCGGGCTGGGCGTAGATGGAACTGGTAGTAGTGCGCAGATTAAGAAGCTTCTGGCAGAAGCGATAAGCGAATTCTGCAACAAGGCAGGTACTGCACCAAAAAGCATTCAGGCCGGGTCCATACGCACCGACCTCTTTCAATTGAAGCCAACCGCGAGGTTGGCCGATATCTTCAAACAGGGCGATGATGTCTTTGAAATGATTGCAGATTACCTGGCAGTCACTGTCGAACCACTTCCGGCAAATCTTGCAAATGCCATCAACGGCAGCTGCAACAAGGCAAAGATCACCGTGAAGAGCATTGAAACGGCCGGATCCGTACGCACCAAAACAGCTGCGTGGTCTTCCTCAGACTTAGACCTGAACATCTACAGCGCGGAAAACGTCACCCGCGCACAGCGAAGTTTATTCAAAGATGATTTGAATGCCAGGCTATTGAATGAAAAGGATGGATGGAGTGTTCATCGCTTAGGCAAGAAATGTCTCCAGTTGAAGGGTCCCCGGCATGAGCACGTGGATGTTGCTTTTGTGAATACGACTTTCAACTGGGGGTTCATTGACCGTAGAGCGAACGTTGAGTTCTTCGCCAGCCACAAATCGGCGCAACGAGCTGTGAGGATGTTCAAATATGTGTTCCAAAACGCCCAGGGCCTGTGCGGAGTTCATATCGAAAACCTGGCTCGTGATGTCTTCCGGACGGGCATGACGGCAAAGCAGCAGTTCGATGAAATGCTGGTGCAGCTGCAAAACAACGGCTGCCATGTGCAGAAGGTAATCGAGGACGCGGTTGACAAGGCCAAGGTAGGTGACCAGGGTGCCCGTCGCGTTGAGTTGCGGAAGCAAGTCAAGCGAATGACGACCGTCATTCATAGTTCTGGTGTCCGTCTGCAAGGTGTCACTCATACAAGGCGTCGCCGAGTCCCTGGGAGAGACAAAGCCAGAGCTGTAGCCCTGTCAACTCATTTCGGCGGCTGCTAGAAAGCTGCCGTATCCTGGCATTAGTTTAGAAACTTCGTAATCCTAGACATCGATTACGTATAATGTTGCCGGAGCTTCTGGGGTTCGGAGCTTAGCGTTTAGTGTTTTATGGTTTTATGGGGAAAGACAGTCAGGGTTCCCGTTTAACCGGTGAGTGTTCCAGCTTTAACCGCTCGGGAGCAGCGGACGAGATCTAGCTTGCGTTTGGGCGTCTAGTTCTGGGAAGCAGGCCGTCATCGACGATTTGCTCTTCTACCGGGTGGGTGATGACACCCTGCAGGCACAAGCCGCAAGCGCTCACATTTCGACCGCCCGCGTTCTGCAAAGTATCATTGCTTATCATTGATGTTGCTGTTCAAACTCTTGTTCAGTAGCTGTAACTTCCACGGGGTTCTGTCTTGCTGCTGTCCTGATGCAATTGGAATAATTACTTTGTTGGGCCAGCCGTCGTGTTTTTTGATGACATCTGACGACTAGAGTCTCTTCCGCTAGCATCCAGTATGCTTGGCACTTGCAGAGGCATTTGCCAACGACATTGCAGCAAGCGTCGGTACCTGCCCATGAAAGTTTTTTGCTGCGCATTCCTGTTGCTCGCATTGTTGAGGAATCCATGTTGACCTTGACGATGCGAGCCCCCAAACCCTAAACCGTGATGGCGACCATCGTCCAGGTTGGTGCTAACATGATTCTGTAGTGACGATGAAAAGAGATGGTGATGATGATGATGATCATCATCATCATATGGGACTCTCCGAAAATAAGGGGTGCCTTGTTTTGGTGTCCTTATAATAAGGATCCTACTATTTAGGGTGCTATATTCGGGTCCCCTATTTTCGGAAACCCCCATATTAGATGGGGATGACCATGAGGATGCTTGTGATGGTGACCAGTTTCAGGATCAGAACCATGGTCGTGATGACGGTGGTGGTCAGGACGGTGGCGGTGATAAAACGCTGGGCTGATGCTGGCGGCCATGCGGGTCATTGTCATGACTGCAGCGATGATGACGTTGATGAAGATGATGATGATAATGATGATGATGATGATGATCATGATGATGATGATGATGATGCCGACGATAACAATGATGGATGACCATGGTGACGGCGATGATGTCGGTGATGGTGATGACGATGGTGAGGATGAAGAGGAGGAAGGCGCTCGCTTTTGAATCACAGTTATCGTCGGTGATACTGTTGGCTCGGATGATTGATCTCGTCGTTGTAGCCACGGTTGAGATGCCTTGTTGTCGTGGTTGCAGTGCGGTTGTGCGGGTGACGCGTGTGGTGGTTGTTGCGGTTGCTGTGGTTGTAACTGCTGACCTTCATCTTCTTCGCAATATTATTATTGATAGTGGAGGTGGCGGTGCTGTTATTGTCGTCGTGTTTGCAGCTGTTGCTGCCGCTTGTTGTGCTTGCTGCTTGCTGCTTGCTGCTTGCTGCTTGCTGCTTGCTGCTTGCTGCTTGCTGCTTGCTGCTTGCTGCCTGCTGCTTGCTGCCTGCTCCTGCTGCTGCTCCTGCTGCTCCTGCTGCTGTTGCTGTCGTCGTCGGCTTCATTGCTTTTGCTGTTGTCGTTGTCGGGTGTTGTCGTGGTTGTTTCTTCCTTGGTGTTGATGATGCAGTTGTTTCCCAGCGCCTTTGCAAGGCCCACCGCAAGGAGAATACTTGGTGGGTGCTGCTGGGGAAGGCCACTTCAGTTGATCGATGGCGCCAGTGCTGGCTTACAAGGCTTACTTATTTCCGAGGCCTCAAAAGGTGGGGTGAAGGTAGGTGGGATATTCCCCAATGATAGTCCTTATATAAGGGATCCTTGATCCTACCTACCTTCATCCCACCTTTTGGGGCCTCCGATTTTTTGGCGGGGATTCCTGCTAATCCACGCAGGCTGGAGATCCCCACCCCCAGCTAACATGAACCGTGCCAAACCGCTCTTGCTTCTCATGCATCGCCCGAAAAGAGATAATCCTGCAAGGGTTGAAAGAGGGTTTAGGAGGTTCAGGGCTCCAAGATTCAACCTGCACAAGTGCCGACAGCGGCCATGCTTCTTGGATTCATGGAGGCTTCAGTGGTTGGAGACTGTCGGGAAGGTTAGAAGATCTCACAAACTAACGGATCAGTATCCTGGGATATCTGAAATCGTCGCCTCCACACTGCTCCTTTCTCCAGCGCTACACGCTCATGCTCTGCTGAAACTGCCAACCTCAAGGCCAAGAAGTCAGAAGTCCTACACAAGCTTCACTTGCTGATATCACCCCCTAAACCCTAAACCCCGCCTCGCAGAAGATTCTCTACACGTGCCAGCAGCCAAACCCCAAATTGCGCCCAACATTGGGCGCCAATGTAGCTGTGAAATCCGAAGGTCTCCTGAGTCCGCTTGAGCCCTTTAAACCCTCATAGGGATAAATCAGAAATGATATGGTGGTATTGTAGTAGAAGTGCTACCAGCTATGAATTACCAGCGGCGCAGGGTTTAGGCTGTAGGTTCCTGTACTTCTGCCCTGAACCGAATGCCTGAGCTCAGGAAACCAGGAGCTGTGATCCCTGTTTTCGGACTAGGGGGGGGAGCTCGTAATGAACTATCATCATTAATGCTAGCTGCTAGCCTTCAAATGACTGCACATGAATGTTGGGACTAGTAGTGGTACCAAGGTTTAATGCTCGTTATGCTATAAGCTTCTGGTTTAAGCAATAGTATCGAACAACTTCGAGCCACAATGCTACGCCTTGTAGATGCGGAACGCCGCCAATGCGGTGCGTTTGCAGAGCGAAGTCCTATTCTGTCCATCTCAAAACCGCGAATAGCGATAGCTGAAGGATACGAACCCAGAACGTGATCGGGCTTTACTTTACATTCTAGGGATACTATATGGGATGCAACATGGGTTACTAAAAAAGAAGCCCATTCGACACTTGTAGCGATCCCGCCGCAGGCAGACAAACGAACCCCACACCAGGGCTCATATAATTTGGCCTGCTACATAAGACCTTACACCCCAAACTTGAAACCCCCACCCTAAAATCCTGTGAGGCATCGAGGGTTACGTAGTCGTTTATTAAGACGTTTGGGCCCAGAGGCCGCTTTTGGGTCATCTTAAGCGGCCGGTCTTCGAAGCTCCGAAGCACTGAACACCCAACATCCCCTTGACCAGCCCGCCCTCAATCAGCAAAGACTCGAGCATTGGTCTACTTTGTCAAAACCCTGTGAAGCACCAGTCTACTTGTAGTCTCCATTGTAGTTCCTTTTTTTGGTTTAACCAAATTTATATGAAGGATCCTAAAGGGTAACCCCAAAAAGGAACTACAATGGAGACTGTAGGTACTTGTAGCAAATCCGGAGGCACTAGTCTACTCTTTAGGAACCGTAGAGCACTAGTGCACTTGCTAAAGATCTAAAGTACTAAAGCGCTAGTCTACTATAGGGGTCTTAATAAGTCGAAAAAAAAGTTATGGGGCATGAGATACTATAATTATAATAAGGAGCCCCCGAGATCGTATAGATAGTTGTCCCTAAACCCTAAACCCTAAACCCTAAAGCCCTAGGCATCATTATGGCCCCCATATTTCTCTCCACTTAAGGCCACCCTCTCCAAGCCTTCCCGGAGCAGGCCTGCTGGTCGCAGACATTCTGCCTGCTGGTGGCGGCTGCCATCCTTCAGCCGCATGGCTCTAGGGCTTACAGGGTTTAGGGTTTAGGGTTTAGGGATTAGGGTGATACCTTGGGTATATAGGCCTGGGTGAAGGATTCAGGGTTTAGGATATTCATAGGCTTTAGGGTTTAGGGACATTTAGGGGTTGGGATGTGGGATGTTTCGGATCGCCGGCTTGGAAAAAGGCTTTGAAGAACCCCTACATGCCTGCAGCATGGAGGGCGCCGGCCTCATGCCCTTCACTACGCTAGGGTTTAGGGTCTAGGGCTTATAGGGTTTAGGGTTTATAGGGTCTATAGGACTTATAGGGTTTAGGGTTTAGGGGCTCTTGAGCAGTCACAGGGCTCCAAGATACGATAGAACCTACTATATAGGGTACTTGACCCCTTACATATAACCCTAAACCCCCCATGCAGCTACTATATAGGGTACTTGTGCCCCTACACCCCCTATATAGTAGGTACCTGGAGGGTTAGGGTAAGGTCATATCCTAAACCCTAAAGCCGAAGCCCTGTACCTTTGAAGCTTCAACAAGGAGAGGGCATCATGTTCAGCGGGGTTTGAATTGGGGTATCTCCAGGTAGGAGGTAGGATACTTCCAAACATGCTTATAACTGGAGTAACTCCATATCATAAGTAGAGTTATAAGAACCCTACAACGTTGGATTCCTGTAACTCTACGTACCTAGTTACCAAGACCCAGGTACTGGCCCTACGAAGCAAGGTTTTAGGGTTGCAGGGTTTAGGACCCACATCACTTCCCCCCCGGGCGCCGCTCCATAAGTTAAGCCGCCTAGGTTTGCAAGCTATCGGTCTGTCTTGGCCTTCGGCACGATGTTTACCCTTGCATGGGCCTCAGAAGGGTTTAGGGTTTATAGGGTTAGGGTTAATGTAGACCCCTGATGCACAAACCCCCTCCCGTTGCAGGAGAGATCCTAGTACTCGGGCGCTTTAAAGGTGGTGTACAACTTGCGGGGAGGGGGGGGGGGGGGGG